ATGAGATTCACCCAAGGGAATGGTAGGTGCCCTCATGGCCTAATGAGATTTTAAATCGTGACAATATGTTATCAGAGCATGGTTCATAAGTCCCATTAAGTACAAGAGCAGAGTCTAGTAAAGTCTTGTGACTTGGTGCCGAGACATCCGCTACTTATATTCGAGAGGCTATGCGACTATAGAGACCTTCGATTCTTTTATTTATTATCTTCCGTATGTGGTTCCGTTTAAGGTCTAAACTTCATTGTTTCATTCTCTCACCAATAGGAATGAGACATTCTCAAATTCGTATCCAAACGACAATAATGATGTTATGGGGTATAATGTGAAATATTATGATGTGGCTAGTAAGATAACTGGGTAATAAGCATTGTGACTTTCAATAATTCAGTAATGAGATAATAGTAATGTCTCGAAGACAAGTCTAATCTTAGAAGGATCAATCAATTAAATAGGAGTGTAGTGGCAATGATAAGGCTTCGATGAGAAGTTAAGGAATGACAAAAAGAGTAAAGTTGATTCTTTGTGATGAAGTTTGAGGTAGTAGGAATTGTTATAAGATTTGTAACAAATATTTCTTTTCTATCCTTTGGAAAGGAGGTGTATTAAAAATAATTCAAATAATTTAAGTTGGATGACATAATGTCATATTGGCATGATGCTCGTTTAATGGAAGCCACGAGGTGATCTTAGTATAGTATGTGAAGAAATAATAAAAAGCTAAGTTGGGTACCAATTAGCAAGGACATTCAAAGTGGTGATTAATGGTAGGCATTGGCATATTGAACTTGTGAGTTATCCTTTAAATATTAAATCGAGAATCAATAATATTAGTTAAAACTAACAGGGTAAGAGGATTCGTTATTTAATGAATTTTGGACAAGAATACTTGTATGAAACTATGTGAGGAACATTAATAGATAGATGAGTATAGTGGTAAAGAATCATCTTACAAATCATGGACCAATGTTGTGATGGTTGAAAATATTATATTGACAGATAACTAGCTCTATTAGAGTAACCAAGGTTGTCCTAAGTGTTATTCAGTATGCCCTCGACCTTTTGCAATTTTATTTTGATCATGAATCTACTTCCTTTTGGATGGATATGTTTCATGACCATTTTTTATGTTTGTATGAATTTTTTCTTCCTTAGATGGTTCTTAGTGGTGGATCGATTACATCGATCTTAAGTTATTAATTTGGTAGCACAAGATATGTGGATAGACTTAATTATTCTGAGTATGATAGACATTGATATCAGATTGAATTTAGATTAACTTTCTCCATATTATGAAACTATAGACTGTTACGCAAAGAAAATGATCTTAGATATTTTGGGTACTCTTAAACTAAAGTGGTAGGTCACTCCAGTATCTATCTGAGGAAGGTAATATCATTTTTAAAGGCTTGGGTTATGATTGAGAAGAAATGTATCACCTTTCTAGCTTGTGTTTTGGGATACTAGCGTCGCTTCCTCTCCAATAAAGTCAATGCCATGGTAAACAAGCTTCTAAAGGTTTCTAATTGACTTTCTAGGAATTCCACCTGATCACACTATATTGATTTTTTCTTGTAGTCGAAAACTCAGGCCATTCAATCCTACCATATCGAATAAATCCAATGTAATCGAAGGAGTTATGATATTTGTAGAGTAAAGTCTTTATTAGGCCCAATGTTTCCCACTAGGATACTCCGATACTATTTGTGAAGAAGAATGATGGCACCACAAGGATGTGCATCAACTAGAAACAATTGAACAAAGTGATTAATAAGAACAAATATCATATTCCACGTATGATGACTTACTTATTCATTCGGTAATCTCTAAGATTGATTTGAGGGATGGTTACCATCAATTGAGGGTTAGGACGGAGTATATCTTTAAAATAGCCCTCATGATCCGCTATGACCACTATGAGTTATTGGTTATGTCTTTTGGGATGACTAACTCCCCAACAATATTTATGGAGTTGATGAATAAGACAATGAGGTTCTATTTCAATTTTCTTTGTCACAATCTTCATCGACGATGTTTTGATATACTCTTAAGGTAAAGAGAAACATGAGCAATATTTAAAAATTATGCTTCAAACTTTGAAAAGGAGCAACTTTGTGTAACTTTTTTTTTGTAAGTGTGAGATCTATCTCTTTGTAATATTCTTGGGGCATGTTATGACCAATGATGGTATTATGACAGATTCAAGAAAAATTAAAGATATCAGAGTTTCGGTTAGGTCTATTTCACCTATTGATCAAGGATTTTATGGGTTTGATTGATTATTTGGGATGACTTATATTTTATCGTGTCTCCATTGAGAAAACTTACTCAGAAGAATTTGACATTTCAGTGATCTAATAAATGTGAGGTGAATTTTCATAAACTTAAGTCATCGTTGGCTTCAACCTGAAGGTTTCACTGTATAGTATGATGTTTCACGGATTGATCTTGAGAATGTTTTGATGTATAAAGATAATATAATAATGTACGCTTTGAGGAGGTTGAAGGTATAGATGATACTACACTACTCATTATTTAGAGTTGGCAGTGATGAGTTCTGCTTTGAAAATTTTGAAGACATTATTTACTTGGAAGCATTGTGAGGTATTCACGAATCATCATAGTATTCAATATATTTCTAGTCAGAGGGATCTTAATTGAGATAGTTAAAGCTACTTAAGAAATATGATATTACTATCTTATATCACTCGAGCAAGACAAATGTAGTAGCAAATGCATTAAGTGGAAAGTCAATTATTATGGACAACTTAATTATGTTCCGAATGGAATAAATGTTCAATTTTTGGCTAATAGATTTGCAAGACTTGATATTTCAGAGTCTTATAGATTTCTTGCTCATGTTGAGGTACACTTTCTTCTAGTGAATCAGATCAATGCTATTTCATTCAAATATGAGAAGTTGAATTATCGTTAAATGGTGAACATGAAGAAGAAATTTTTTATTCAAAGGGTGTTTTGAGAATTAAGGGTCATATTTCTCTTTTAAGAGTTGATGATTTGACTAAGTTAATTATGGAAGAGACTCATGGTTCTAGATATTCTCTTCATCGAGGAGTAGGAAAAATGTATTATGAATTAAAGCATTATTGGTGATGTCGAATAAATACAGACATGTAGAGTATTCCTCTCGATGTTTGAACTGCTAGCATGTAAAGTATAAGCACCAGAGGAGGTGGTGAGACTCGGAGGATGCCTACACATGAGTAAAAAATGGGGGTGAATGCCATGAATTTTGTGGTAGGATTGGCATAGAAACTTTGATAAAGATAGTTGATATTTGACTTATTGTAGATAGATTGACCGAAACAACTTACTTTATGTCGGTTCAGACTTCATACATATGAAAAAATTGACTAGAAATTACATCCAAGAGATAGTATGTTTTCATGGTGTGTCCATTTTCATCATTTCAAATTGGAGTACTAAGTTCACAATCAATTATAGAAGTCTATGAAAAAAGAGTTGCGTTCTCAAGTGGAGATTATATAACTTTTCATCCACATACAGATGATCAGTCCGAGCAGACTATTTGGATATTGAAGGATATTCTATGAATGTGTGTGATGTATTTTTGTGGTTGTTGGGACTAGTTCTTGTTGTTAGCGGAGTTTGGTTATAACTCTCATTACCATTTTAGTATTCAGATGGCCTTATTTAAGGCCTTGTATGATAGAAGATGTCATTCTCTAGTTGGTTGGTTCAATGCATTCGAGGTCAAGTTTCGAGTAAAGATCTGTTGAGAGATTTCTTAGATAAGGTCAAGTTGATTCAAGATAGAGTTCTTATAACTTAGAATAGACAAAAGAGATATGTTGATCAAACGAATTTTGATTTAAAGTTCATGATTGGAGAGAAGGTTTTGGTAAAAGTATACTCATGAAAGATGTTATGAGGTTTGACAATGATGACAAACTCAGTCCAAGGTTCATTGGCCCAGTGTTTTAGGGAGGTGGTGTATGAGCTCCCTATGCCACTGGACTTATCAGATATTCATTCAGAATATCATGTTTTGGTGTTGAGGAAGTACTATATCGATGACTTTTATGTGATTCAATGGACTCAGTACATTTAGACAAAAATTTAGCATTTGTGGAAAAACCTATATTTATTATGGATAAACAGGTTCGATATCCACTTGGAAGGTTGAGTCCAACATGCAGAGTAGATATTCTACATTATTTGACATTTCATGAACTTTCTTTCTCTTTACATTCAAGGACGAACGTTATATGACATTAACAACAATTTTCTAGTTACGAGTATTCATATATATGACGCCCTAATATTGTTGTAACCTTTACCTAGCTCTTTATTTTTCATCTTTCTCTCTCATTTTTAGAGTATCACGAGCGAGGCATGGACTCAAAAGTCTTTTACTTTCTTAGACTCCGTATCCAGTGGCGGAGCCAGAAAATTTAATAAGGGGGTTCAAAATCTGAAAAGTAAACACACGAACTAGTGGAAGGGGGTTCGACATCTATTATACATACCTAAAAAATAATTTTAACCATGTATAAATAGTAATATTTTTCGCCGAGGGGGGTCGGATGACCCCCCTCATTACATGCTGCCTCCGCCACTGTCCGTATCAATTCAAAATAGGCTAAACAAATAATGGAGGGAGTATATCATAAAAACACGAATAATTCTTTTTAAATGTTGATCGATTAAAATATCCCTCAAATATTGATCATTTTTTATGCCCTTGACAATTTAAGTTAAGTAAGGACAAAATTGTAAAAAAAGAAGGTAAAGGAGTATTCTAATTCATTTTGAAAAATAGTTTCTTCAATTTGTAGTGAGAAAAGAAGAATAAGCCAAAAAATATTTGACAAGGCAAATGAGTAGCTCAATTTATTTTGGACAATGGTTCTTCAATTTGTATACTTTAAACACCTCTATAAAAGAATCCATTTGTACTATATTATTCATTTAAGGAGTTTCTAACTCGTTTGTCTTTTTGCCTCAGAGACTCCACCATGTTGTCGTGCTTAGGTTCTTACCTTTCAAGGTTTTGTAATATTGATTTTGGTCAATCAGCGGACCTCGACGATGTTGATATCCTTGCGAGAGAGACAGTGTTTCGCGTCAATGAGATTGAAGCTCTTTACGAGCTCTTTAAGAAGATTAGTAGTGCAGGGATTGGTGATGGCTTAATCATGAACAGGAAAGAGTTTCAATTGGCTATATACAACACAAATGCGAAAGAAAACTTCTTTGCTGACAGAGTATTTGACTTATTTGACACAAAGCGTAAGGGAATTTTGGGCTTTAAGGAATTTGCTTGTGCACTTTCTATTTTCCATCCAAATGCAGCTATTGATGATAAGATTGAGTTTTCTTTTCAACTATATGATATCAAGCAACAGGGTTTCATTGAGAGACAAGAGGTAAAACAGATGATGCTTGTTGCTCTTGCTGAGACTAATATGAAACTTTCAGACAATGTGATAGAGAGCATAATTGACCATACTTTTGAAGAAGCAGATACCAATCGCGATGGAAAGATTGATAAGGAGGAATGGAGAAGTTTAGTCTTGCGTAATCCTTCACTTTTGCAGAATATGACTCTCCCATATCTCACGGACATTACTACAATGTTTCCGAGCTTTGTCTTTCACTCAAGAGTTGAGGACGACCTGATTTGGGATTGAAAAAAGGGATTTGCATTTTGTTTTTGGATGTTCAATGGATATAATATGACAACATTATGTTTGCTTTTTCTATTTCTCCATGTTCATTTTCGACATTAGGATTTTTAAAAAACGGTTCTGTTTGTTCTTTTGTTTGATGAAGATGAGTCTCATTCAACTTCGTTATTGAATTCTTATATGCAATGACAATGTTAGAACACTTGTTTCTAAGTGCACAATATGCCTATGATGGCTGTGTTTATTTATTTTACCTTTTGTTCACGACATTATGGGTGTGTTTGGTATGGACGAAAATGTTTTTCAATTTTTTCATGTTTGGAAAATATTTTCCAAATCAACTCATTTTCCTCAAATTTAAGTTACTACCCTTCAAGATTAAGAAAAACATTTTCCAAAACTCTACTTCATGCTTTAATTTTTGTACCCAACCCAACCCATTAAAAAAAATGTTAACTTTTTAAGATTTCAACTATATTTTTATCGTTACCACCAAACCACCCCCTCTCAAAAAAAAAGAATTGAAAAATGTTTCAAATTTTAAGAATTTTTTACCTCACCCAACCCTTACCACCCCTACTCACTACCCCACCCCCTCAAAAAAATTGTTTTTGAAAAATATTTCAATTTTTTAAAAAATTTTACGCCACTCTGTCAATTTTTTTAAAAAAAATATTTTTGTGAGATATTTCAAATTTAATTTTTTTTTCATTTTTTACGCAACCCCACCCCTACCCCCTATCCCCCCGTCAAAATTTTTAAAAAAAATTGTTTTTGAAAATAAAGATTCATGGGGTTAGGTCCTGGGTCTCTCAGGGTCAGATTTTGGAACGGTTATCGGAGTCTTGTCCTAGTATGGGTGTAGGGATCAGGTCCTAGATCAATTATCGGGGTTGACTTTTGAATCATAAATTATTTTCCTAAAGAGTATTTTTTAGTCTCAAGCCAAAAATAAAAGATATATTCTGAAACCAACCAAACATTGAAAAGAGTTTTTCAGAAAAATATTTTCTACTCATCAACCAAACATGAGAAAATAAGTTAGAAATCCACTTGTTTTCCAAGAAAACATTTTCTAGGAAAATATTTTCCATGAAAAACATTTTTCTTCGTACCAAACACACCCTATAACTCATCAATTCATTATATTTTCGAGTAATTGTTATCTTATATGTGATTTATAGATTAATTACACATTTAGATTTTTTTTTACGTCTTTTCTTATCTATTAAAGGTGTTTGTGAATGATAATGGATTCAGCTTTGAAAAATTAACGTTTTTCTATAAATACGGATAGGTAATTAAAGTATTAAGAAATCCCAGTTAAAAGTCTAATTATATAAAAACTTAAGAGACCTATTATCATATTATAAGTCTTCTAGTTCTCCAAATTCATGAGTTAGCAGGCAATGAAAATTATATACTAGAGTAATGGAGAATTACTACATGACTTGTGTTTGAATCAGCGCTAGATTAATTTAGTATGTTGGTCTTATAAATTACATTCTGTGTGGTTTCTTTTCATTACAGAATTGAGAATATTGTAAATCGATCAACTATTATCTTTTCTTTTATGGTTTTATATTTATGTTAAATTCTTGTATTTCTTTTCTTATTCACAATCGTGATATTGTCTCTATTATAGTCCTGTAAATATTCGAAATATTAATCTGTTTGAAGTGAAGTTCATATATTGCTTTTGCGGAAAAATATATATGTAAGTTTACATTGTGCTCTTTAATTTGTTGTCTTTCGTAATCTCATCTTTCTACATGATATAGTTGATTTTAATTAGAAGAATACATAAGTCTCAAAAACACACCTAAAATTTTATTTTTTTGTAGTTTCATACTCAAACTATTGGGAGTGTGAGTTTAATACTTTAACTATCACTTATTAATTTGGAAAAAACACATTAGTGGTGTGTATAATACACTCTCTCTTTTATTAATTGGAGAAACATACCTCGCTATAGAGGCTTTGCTTTTCGCTATAGTGGAGGCCGCTATAGCTGAGAAATCCCCTCCCAGCCAGAAATTGGATTTTTCTTTTGGAAGCTATTCTTAGGAGATTTTATGATTTCTAACTCGATACTCATTAAAATGCAGGTTCATAATTCAAATGGTTGTCAATCAAGAATGCACTTATCCTTACGTGATATTCCCCGATGAAGCTAGTTAGGAATGATTCATGGACTAACGGAGTATATAGATGGTTTCTCTGAGAGGGCAGCTTTCTGCGTACGAATAGTGGAGGAAAAGGCACCAACCTTTTACCACCGACTCCAAGAGTTTGGTTGGGACCCACTTGTTGAAGTTCACCGGTCTTCCCTCTCAGGCTGGATGAGGGAGTTCTATGCGCTTCTCCCGACAATTCTTTTGAATTCCCCTCAGGCTTCCCTTCACAATTGAGGGGTGGATGTCCCTGTGAACATTTATATGGTGAATGAGGTTCTAGGAGTGTCGAACGTTCCCAATGATGAGTTTGAGGCCAAGCTAAAGGCGATGGATATGAGGTGGATGCGGGATTCACTGGTCGACTAGGAGTATCAAGATAAGGTATAAGGTAACGTATACTGGATCCACCTTAGCTTAGATTTCATGGTCATTACCTTGACAAGTAGGACACTCTTTTTTTGGTATGGAAACAGTACACTAAACTTCATATTATAGCTCGTATGGTTTATGTCGGTTAACGATATCTTCCACACTATGATATGATTTTCAGATATTGTTTGACCTTGTACTATATTTTCAGATCAGATCATTAGTTTTCATGTTATGTTTACTTGGTCATTGTATTAGCATGTTTTACGGACTTATCATGTTATCATGTCATATTTATGTATTTTCCCCATACTCAGTATATTCCGAATACCGACCGCATACTTTTCTACCTGTATTGTTTCATAATATAGGTTTTGACGTATCTCATCAGGCTCATAGTTAGTCTTGCTCCGATCATCCAGTTAGCAGTGTTGGTGAGTCCTTACCTCATCGAGAAAACCACTTATGGTTTCCTTCTTGTGTTTACACTATAACAAAAGCAACTTTTAGCGGCAATAAATAGACACATTAATAAAGAGTGCTAAAATCTTTACCAACATTAGTTAAGTGTCATTAGATTCAATGTTGCTAAAGGCTTTAGGGACATATACAAAGATTGCTAACTTCAGTTTTTTGGCAGTTTAGAGTTAGCTAGGGACTTGTCCTAACAACTCACTATGATTAAAGGTTTTTCATATAGTTAGTTGTTTCCACGTATGTTGTCTTTATATCAGATTTCTCTTTTATGATATGATAGCTAATTGAAACTTATTCTGTTTCAGTTTTATTTCAGTTATGTATGATATTTAGTGTCATGCTATGTCATGTGGTTAGCTTGGGATCAATCGTGATTCTAGGCACCATATCACATCTATGGGGTAGCATTGGGTCGTAATATTATTGAATTGTAATGCCTTGTGCGGAAAAGATTTGATTCATTCTTGTATATGCATGTTGTCTAGTTCTTGCCCAAAAATAAATTTCAAGGCGAAATTCTAGATTTAACTTGACTTGAATATGAATCTAGACCCTTTTTGAATAACCGCTCTATCCCAAAATTTCCCTCCATTGATGTAATCTTAGTCCATCCAATTGATCCTAAACCGAAATTTTTGTCCACCATGTTGCATATCTTAATCCTTTGTGACCTTTTGTTTTTGACAACTCAAAGTCTACCTAGTTGCTAATGATTTGTGATATAGGTTAAAAGCGTAAGTTTGGAAGAGAAGAAGTGAATCATACCCGTGTACTAACAATCAACAATGATAAAATTTATTGAAATATAATCAAAGCAAAAAATATATACATCCAATAGCGTCCGTAAATGATACATACGTATTAGAAGTCTATTTTTGCTACATATATCCAACAGATACAGTATATCCAACAAATTTAGAAAGTGTTGGTACAATATTATTGAATGAATAGATGCAACATATTCTAACTAAATTGAGAAAACAAATACATCAATATTGAACGAATAAATACAATGAATTATTGTATCATTGATGAAGAGTGAATCCTATATCGTTGATATAACATGAATTTCAGAAAGCTCTATCATAATACAATTCAAATTTCAGAAAGTTGTATCAATGATACAATATGAATTTTAGATAGCTATATTGTCGATACAACAAATTTTTACAGCTATTTTTATGTTTGACAATTATTTAAACTATCGCTATGTCTGATAGCTAAGACATCAGAGTACCACTATTTATAAAAGGTATCCTAATTAGTTACCATCTTAAAACGTACTCTAATATTTATTATTACCCTAGTCAAAAAAATAACTTAAGATATAAAATTTGTTTAAATTCATAAGACAATAAAAATTCATATCAAATATGAAGATTGAAAAAAGAAAAAAACATTCATGTAGGCGACTTGAAGTCTGTACTATGTACATGTGTTTGCTCCATAATCGCTCTGGTTCACACCATCTTTCATTTCGAATAGAATATTCTATCAATATAGCAAGATTTGTGAACAATTTAATTAAATATTAAATTGTAAATTATATTAAAAGTTATGATCCATCATGATAGGGTGTTCACGGTTTAGATAAGATCCAAATCAAAAAGTCAAATCAAACCGATCAATAAATCAATTTTATTTGAGTTTGGTTTGGTTTGGTTTTTAGATTTTAAAATTTCGATAGTATTTGGTTTGGTTTTGATTTTGTTCGAGAAAACCAAAAAAATAATCGAACCGAACCGATAAATTAAATACATATATTTTATCACTATACAATATTATTTGTATAAACAATTTTAAAGATCTTATATATGTTTTCATAAAAATTTATTTTTAATCTATTTATGAAACCAAAAACATCGAAAACGAGAACTTTTATCTTATTGGTTTCATATATATGAGTGTCTATGACAATTCCAATTCTTGGTGGGATTAGAATTGTCACTGTCTCTTTCTTCTAGGCCAAAATGATGAATG